TTTTATATCAGATCGTCACAATAGTTTCAAAAATGCTATTGAAAATGTATATCCTGGAATATGTCATGGGATCTATTCATATCATCTCCTACAGAATCTGAAAACACGCTATGGAAGATCGGGTTACAACATAACGCAAGCATTCAACTCAGCGTTCACGCTTACACCTTATCGGAATACGAATATCACATGCAAGAACTCGACGCAATTAATAAAAAGATCAGGGGTTACCCGATAATATAATACATTTTATATGCAATCTACATTTGTATACATATATCGTTCTATTGTAATGAATGTGACTAGCCTCATCAAGTTTTTATTGTAGGATGGTATTGGGCCTGAAAAATGGTCACGATTTCACATGCCCACGAACAGATATTCCATAATGACATCGAATATAGTAGAGACAGTTAATGCAGTCACAAAGTGTGCTAAGAACTACCCTGCCATAGCATTGTTGGAGTCATTGCGTGAAACTACACAATCTTGGTTCTGCAAACATAGGCAGACCGCAAAACACTTTCACAACCTTGTTGAGTAAGTACGAGAAGCAGTGAAGGGAAATGAGCACAGATATGAGAAACTTGAGGGTAATCCCTATGTTTGTGACCTTGCACATCTGACCTGTGACCTAATACATCTTTATCTTCGTTTCTGCGACTTGTTATTTACATGACTTTGATTGTTCATTGCAAGTTTCTTGTGTAAAATGATGCAACATTTTCAGTTACTTGTGAAAGTACATCTTTCGTTGTTGATGTAGAACAACGTACTTGCATATGTAGGATGCTTCAAGTAGATCAACTATTATGTTCACATACATTGGCTGTCATTGCACGTATGAAGATGGAACCATATGAGTTCTGTTCATACTATTACACAAGAGAAGCATACCAGCATGCTTATCAAGGAAGCATTTTCCCTGTTGGAGCTCCAAATGAATGGACAGTCCCAGAAGATATTCAGGAAANCAAGAGAAGCATACCAGAATACTTACCAAGAAAGCATTTTCCCTGTTGGAAATCCAAATGAATGGATAGTGCCCAAAGAATTATGGGACAATGTTGTATTAGCACCTAATCAAAAGAGAAGTTATGGAAGGCCTACCGAGAAGAGATTCAGATCAGCATGTGAAGCGAGCATAACTATCAAATGCGAACGATGTGGTGAAAGTAGTCACAATCGTAGAACTTGCACCAGCTTGGTTCCGTTAAGTCACGGACAATTGAAAAACAAAGGATTGAAAATGAAGTCAAATGATGATAGACAGTGACCATAATTCGATGAATTGATTCTTTTCTCATTCAATTTTCGTATGTAATGTCTTAACGAACAAATATATTCATTCAGATAACATATTTGTTTATTTTTTCATTCATTTTGTTACAAATGCTATGACCATTGAACAACCATTGAAAACCTACCGGTGACATTTGGTTTGCTCATTATACAAAAACCTGTGACTTGTGCTGTAACCATTTAAAATTAACCTGTGACCATTGTAAAATCTGAGACGTGTACAAAACCCTGTGACTTGTGCTGTGACTATTTAAAATTAACCCGTGTGACCATGAACAAAAATCTCAGACATGCACAAAACCTTGTGACTTGTGTTGTGACTTTTGAAGTCATAATCTATGACCGTTACTAAAATTACACAAAAAATTGTGACCTGCGCTATGACCATTTAAAAATAACATTTGAACATTAATAAAATTCGAAGACCGGGGCTCTATCACATTATCATTCATTGTACAATAATGTGTGACTTGTGCTGTGACCATTACAAAAGTAACATGTTATACCCAGCCGTGCTCTACCCGCATCAAATTTCATAGACATTGATCCTATATTGTTATGTATCATGTATTCAGCATATTTCACCACGTATATGCCATAGTCATATCTGAAAAGGAAACAACAGAATATTAATATATAACTTCAAGGAATAATGGTGGTACCTTTAATGTGGATGTCACAAACTTACCCATTTTTCTGTTGCGGAAGAGATAAATCAAGTTTCACCTTCAATTCAACCAAATCTTTCAAGATTTCAATAGCTTTCATGAGGTGTGAGATAACTTCCACAGATAGTTCAATTCCAATAAGGTCCTTGACATCGTTGTATGTGTTCCTAAATGAATTGAACATGTGGAAGTTACGTAGTTTTCCAACTTTA